CAGTGGAAAAGATCGACCGACAGTGCCCATGAACCTGAAACGCAAAAGGTATGCTGTAGAAACATGCTTTCACCAGGGCAACCAGGATGCCTTGGTTTCTCTGCCGTCTTATTGATACTATGCATTGATTTTGGTCGACTATGTTCTTAACAAGGCCGGTCAACTAGAGCTGCGTATTCGCATTCACATGCTCTCGTTGCGTTTTCCTCATCGGGCACTGGCGCTCCCAGAATAATTTGAAATCCCTGACATGAAGTCAGACACCAGTGGGGTACAACTAGGATGAGCATAGCAAGGCCTGAGCATGAGTGCTCGCCCTAAAGAGCAAGTTCATTGCCTGGTGCTCCTAGATAGACGTGATTCAGACAAGGGTAGGGCCACTGGTGCTTTTTAACGACATAACATAGAGGAATTGACAAATGGGGGCCTGTAGCATACTACAGTGATCGAACTGGAGCGACATTACTAATCCTAAGAGCAAACAAACCGATATACTTCGAACTTTCTTTACTACTCGGGGGCCACTGCCTGGATCCTTTAACAGTAGGCCGTTGTAAGCGCCGGTGGCAACAGAACGGCATGATGCTCCCAAATCCCAAAAGCAAACACATAGACCGACTACGACCTTTCTTTGATGCTGAGCGGCTCTTGTTTCGACCCTTCAATGTTAGCCCATTGTATAGGCCGGCTGCGCCCATCTAGGAGACAGAACTCCGTAACGTTCTGCTCTTTCCTAGGGCCATTCGAGAGCCTGAGCCTGTTTTCGGAGTACGATTAAATTTTTTCCTCCAGCGCAAGCTTTTGTATTCATCTGTCCTTTGTTGGGTTGGTATATATCATATTTTATACCTTTTCCTTTGTTGTGGAATGGCAAGCCCTTACCTCTTGGTTATGGTTGTCGTCCACGTCAAACACGCTGGCTGTTATCAAGAGCAGCCCAGGAAACTAGATAGTTGACATGTACCTGGAGGGACTCGGCTACATAAACTTTATCGAAGACAAGGTGTGCGGAGCACACTCAATGACTCGAAGCGAATCACTCCGGTCAAGATAGTTTTCCTGCCTCCGCCCCCTTGACCCCATAAAGGACAAAAAGTAATGATTTCTCTCTTTCTCCTTATGTATAACACTGGTTCAGAACCACCCTTAACTAGCAGTCGAAACCAATTTCCAAGTTAGGATTTGAGTTACTGCTAGGACAACACCGATTTCAAATGCCTTGAGTCTTTTACAAGATGGAAAACCATATGTGCTTCACGCCACTGTTATATTTAGGCTAGTCTGAGGATCTCGATAACATAAAAATGTGCTTCTGCTTTCAGTTTCAAGACAGCACAAGCTTAACTGTTGTGCCTAATTACGTTCGGCGTGCGAGGTACAGATAGTTAGAAAGCCACCAATGACAAAGAGGGCCGTCATACTGTGGTGTACTCGTATCCCGAAGGAGTACGGCCACCAGCGTGGGTCCGGTCTTAGCGAGCCGCAGGGCACGCGTTAACCGTCGCCGTGGCGAGAACACGATACTGCTTAAAGTCGCAACACTTTATTGTGGCAACACCAAACGCAGTACAGCCCGTTGCAAAAAGGCGCGGCGGGAAAGCAAATAGGCTTATCCACGCCACGGGCACAAAAGTACTACACAGGGTGCCACGAGCACGTCTCCGCGGTAAAGGTGATCCACGGAGACACCGGGACCAAGGCCCGGTTGCTCGAGCGAGGGCAAAGGCGCTCGCGTTGGCCTCGGAGGGAGACGGGTCGGCGTAGCTAGGCCACGCACTAGGACACCGTACCGCACTTCGGCCGTGAGTACGCAGTGGGGCAACAAAAGGTGAGCATCCGCCTCGGGCGCGAGGCGCCGTCAGCGAAGTCCGATGAGCCCTGAACGACGGGAGTCGACGGACGGAAAAAATTGCGTGGCTCACCGTTTGCTGTCCCGGAGAGTACCTGTCCGCTCCTGACGCAGCGCGCGAAAACCTCTCGGGAGCCTCCGCGCGCGGCGCCACAGTCAACATCCGCTACCGGGTGAGGGAGTTAAACGTCACTCCGCTCTCTCAGCGCGGCAGACAGCAAAGGAGGGCAGACATGTCGGGACATGAGAATGGCAGAAAAGGCGGCAAAGCCCGCGCAAAGGCAGCGGGCTAGCCTCAATTCCCACATCCCCCTCTCCTAAATTTGCCCTTTACCGGTCTGCAAAAGGCAGCCTGGCGTCACCCATGCAGTTAAAATGACACTGCTATGAGCGACAACTAACCTCAGTCCAGCCCTGCTACTGCTGCTTAAAAATATGATTACAAAGGAGAAACAAAAACATAAATAACAAAATAGACACATGACACTATAAAAATAACTGCGGAAGGGAGCACAGAAAAGTGGGACTAGTGTTCGTGGTGCTGAAGCGGGATAGCGTCCACTGCTCGGAGGGGCGGAAGGGCGTGACAGTGTCCGCTGGGTGCGATGCCCGAGTGCGAGGTCAGAGGTACGGGAGGGGGCTCACTGATGGCTCGTTGCTGCTCTTGATAAGCCGCGAGTCCGAGGGAAGCCGCTTCGGTTGTTCGGAGGCCCCGCATTTCTGGCTCGATGACGGAGCTGGACGTTTCGGGAAGCCGGGCCTCTCCAGTGATCAGGGAGACCGAACCAGAACTGGCTGCGAGGACGCCCTGGCGTTGGCCGGCAGCATATAGCTGCTTTCAGCTGGCCTCGCGCAGGAGCCGTGGTGGGAAAGGCAGCGGGGCTTCTTCAGCGACGGCCGAGAGCAGAGCACAGCCAGACGGTCTGACGTCAGTGGGTCAGTGCCCCACCAGCACCTCGAGTGTCTGCGTCGATGGGAGGAAAGCCATGACGCACTCTTCGCGGGCTCGCACTGAAGCGTCACGGACTTACACACTCACAGAAGCACGCACACACACCGCCGACAGCTGCGCGAGCGTAGGCGCAAAGCGTCCTTCGTCTCTCTCTCCCGGCAAGCACCGACACGGAAGGTCACACACAGCTCCCTTCGCGGTAGATGAAACGAATACGAGAAAAAAAAGTAAAAACAGAGCAAAATGACACTCAACATCTGGCAAAAAACATAAAACACAAATAACACCTAATATTAGACAAAAGAAACATAAAATACACACGAACACCCTTAAAAAAGGAAACACTGGCAGCAGACAGAGCGGGGTCAACTTCTTTACGAGAAAAGGCCGTGAAGAAGCTAACCTCTACTGAGGCTAGACAGTAAACTGAGGGCTTTTGGTTGCGGAGAAGTCCGCCGTCCGGCGCGAAATTACAAAGGTGACCGCGTCCTCAGATTATACCGGTGCGGGGTCCGAATGCGGTCCGCCGCTCCGGGTGTGGCTCGTTGCTGGCGCGAAGTGCCGCAGGGCTCTGGCGCGAGCTCGTCAGACCGTGATACAAAGGGTTTCAGGTCTGCGTTATGGGCACGGCTGAGTTTTCCCGTATGGGGATCTTTCAGCAAGTACGCGAGTGGAGTGCAAGCTTTCTCTACTCGGTACGGACCAAGCCACTTAGGAGCGAGCGAGGTTGAGAACCCCTTACTGGCATCGCTAAGCGCGTGGTTGCGCTTCAGGACAAGATCGCCCACCTCAAAAACTAAGTCGCAATGCTTGCGGTCATATTGGGCCTTCTGCTGAGCCTTGGCCGACGCCCAACTTCGCCTTGCTTTGCAGAAAGCCCGACAAAGCCTGTCCCGAAGTGCCGACGCGTAAACAGAGCAGTCTGCCGGCGCCTCCTCATCCTCGAGCTGGCATTGAGTGACGCTGGTCACCGGATTTGCCAACTCCCTTCCAAAATTTAAGAAGGCGGGCGAAAAACCAGTTGAGCGACTCTCGGATGTTGGGGCCAGTGTGGTGTACACGTATCCCGAAGGAGTACGACCACCAGCGTGGGTCCGGTCTTAGCGAGCCGCAGGGCACGCGTTCACCGTCGCCGTGGCGAGAACACGATACTGCTCAAAGTAGCAACACTTTATTGTGGCAACACCAAACGCAGTACAGCCCGTTGCAAAAAGGCGCGGCGGGAAAGAAAATAGGCTTATCCACGCCACGGGCACAAAAGTACTACACAGGGTGCCACAAGCACGTCTCCGCGGCAAAGGTGATCCACGGAGACACCGGCACCAAGGCCCGGTTGCTCGAGCGAGGGCAAAGGCGCTCATGTTGGCCTCGGAGGGAGACGGGTCGGCGTAGCTAGGCCACGCACTAGGACACCGTACCGCCCTTCGGCCGTGAGTACGCAGTGGGGCAACAAAAGGTGAGCATCCGCCTCGGGCGCGAGGTGCCGTCAGCGAAGTCTGACGAGCCCCGAACGACGGGAGTCGACGGACGGAAAAAATTGCGTGGCTCACCGTTTGCTGTTCCGGAGAGTACCTGTCCGCTCCTGACGCAGCGCGCGAAAACCTCTCGGGAGCCTGCGCGCGCGGCGCCACAGTCAACATCCGCTACCGGGTGAGGGAGTTAAACGTCACTCCGCTCTCTCAGAGCGGCAGACAGCAAAGGAAGGCAGACATGTCGGGACATGAGAACGGCAGAAATGGCGGCCAAGCCCGCGCAAAGGCAGCGGGCTAGCCTCAATTGCCACAATACCAAAAAACCTACACAGTAAACGGATGTTATAGAAGGGATATTGTGCTTCATTCACGAGCATTCTCATTATTTTGATTTCAGTTCGCAGTCACCGCGGTGGACCTGTACATATACGAATAACAAGAACCAGCAACAGAAGGAAGGTAAATAAGCTATATGCTGTAGATATCTTGAATTGCCCCTATTTAGAGAGGTTACCGGGTGATTGGAGACATTTATAAAAAATCACTTGTTATTGGTAAATTATCCCGAAACAATTGTTTTCATGTGCGAAGCCGAGCGCTAGCGCATGCCAACGTTGTGAAGGCACTCATAATGCAATATTTGTTGGCGATGGTGTTCACCTCTCGCGCAGACCAATCGTATCACCAAAGATGAGCGTCTTGTTTATACAGCGAGAGTGTGAATTACCTGTTCACTCTTTGCACGTGATGCCAAGTCATTTTCTCCAGGCGTCTGTAGGCCACGGCAACAACTCGGAAACCCTCAAGCGTGTATCCACGAAGCATTTCGTAGTACTCCGCTGGCACTGTAAGATATATTAAAACGCGCTTTGAAGGCAGCTCACAAAAACAAAAACAAAACATGACAGCAAATTATGGTGCGCATTCTGTGTACCACGGCCTGATTTACTTCTGCGCATAGCATAAGGAGGGAGTGCTTTCCAAAAGCGCAGAGTACTCACAGTTGAAATACTTTACACTAAATGGCTGGTTTCGGGGTTCGGGTGTGTTATGCGAGAGTTTTCTGGGCTTCTGCTTAGCGTCTGATGGGTTTCCCAAAAAGATCTCGTTGATTCTCTTTACAGATGCCCCATCTTGTGAGTTCGGCTTCGGGCGTCTCAAACCAGGCCTTTCGGGTGTCTCAGAGGTAGAATATCACGTTCGACAGCGTCGCTGTTGAACGCCACCTGTATAACTGTTGTTGACGCGCTGGTACATCGACCGCCACTCATCGACGCTGACCTTTCCAGTGTAGCTGAAGATTCCCGGGTCATGTAGCGGAGGCATGACGTATTTCACTGGTGCCTGAGCAACTGGTTCACTGTCGTTAGCCACAACAGCGGAACCGATGTGACTTCCGCTGAGTAGATCCAGCTCCGACTTCCTTAGAGACGCACAGAGCACTTACACCAAAATGATACGCGTAGAGTTGCAGTTGAAGTTGCAGACGCCCTAAGGAAAGTGCGACACAATCGGTTCCGATTTCTTTGTTTGTTTCCCTAGATAAATGGCACGTATCCACTTTGGTGGATTGATTGGTTGGCTTGTTGTTTAGTTTCTCAACAACTTGGCGCACCCCACCTAGGGGGATAGGCCATGAATCGGATGGTGCCTTGCTTCTTAAACTAATTCACTTCTTGAAGGAAAGGCTTGAATTCATTATGTATTGCTGGTATAAACCGAAAGTGTAGGATTTCAAAAAAAAAAAAACACTGAATAGGATGGCCTGATGAACTCGCATAAAGAAGAGCAAAGAAGACTATGCATAGAACAACTTAATTTAGCTACGCTTAGCATTCCATTCTTTTAGACTCTCGTATGAAACTTCTAACAGTGGTACAAACGCTTCTGTGGCTAAAACCACATGCGCTTGCACCAAATGAAAGAATCACCGGAAGTCAGAAATTTAAGTCCAACTTTTGTAGGGTTTTTTTAGTAGCCTTTTCCTTTGACTTTTGAATATACGGCATGACAAAAAGAAGTGTTCCAAAGATTTACTCTCATTACAGTGAAGGCATAAAGGCTACTGTGCCAGACCCGACCTGGGAAGGTAAAAGTTCAATGAAGGGACTCAAAAACGCAGCCTTGTAACCTCTACTTTCTCCTTTCTTGATTAACACACATGTTCTTCCAAGAGAACTTTAGCTGTGGATAGTCTAATAACAACAAAGGAGATTTTTCGAAGTTATTGGCCATTGTACGTCTTTCGGAACGTGCTGCTGTGATATATTCAGAAGTGGGCAAAATAAGTAGAACAGGACCATCAAGGGAAGATATAGCTAGTGAATTTGCATGCTCATTGAGAGATAAACATCTATGGACTGGTACCCAAACTAGTCGAACGAGTCGCACATGTCTAGGAATGAGCAAGTATAATGTTTCTAAGGTACGTGAAAAAGTTGATGCGGTTAAAGCAGCACAAACATAGAGACAGCCTGTTGCAACAACCACCGCTGATAGACCTTGGGGCAATTTACGCAATGCTAGGACTATTGTCAGTAGCTCAGCTTGGTAAATAGGGTTAAAGTCGGGCCATCGAATTGAGAAAACACAATGTAGAGAGGACGATACGATTCCTACGCGGGCCTTCTCTACATAAACGGAAGCGTCAGTTGGTATCACACTGAATGTTTCTAGATTGGCCAAGTAATCTTCGAAAATGCCATTTATTACTGATATGGTAAATTTTTTGCATTATTGAGATTTATATAATCAAATTCAATCCTGATTGCATCTGTATTGTTGAGTGCAAGTATTTCCCAAAAGGTAATTCATAAGCGGTCCAAAAGATTCTGTTTAAAAATAACTTGATATCACCACGATTAATTTCATTGGTGGTTGCCCGAGACACTTCAACCTCTTCTATCGCTAGCAGCGTCCTTTTGTCGACACTGGCACCAACACGTACGTAAAAATAATTATAGGTTTCCTAGGGTCTTGTCACAGATTGCCAGATAAGAAATTAAGGTTCCTGTTGAGTACGATGAAAGCTGCTTCCTTGGTGACCAATTTTTGACCTCTTCATATCTACATTATTTCTATATTTACACTTAGTGTTTAGACTTGTGAGGACGTAATTTATTATTTAGGATAAAATTAATTGTTTTGAGACAAGTATCTGCACTTCAATTTCGGCTAAGAAAGTCCAAAAGTTTCACTTCATTTCTTTTAGTTGCCACAACGCTGGCCCACCTTACACTATCTAATATAATTAGGCCGCTATGCTCACCTTGAAGCTAACACAGCCTGGCAGCTAGCTTGTGTGCCATACATCATAAAATAACGCAGGGCGTGCAATTAAGGACACTAGAACAATTTGCGTGCTATCTTGCTATCCTCTATAGGTGCTTTCATGCCTTGCGTTCGCTTATGATAAAATGTTACCAACTAACTCAACGGTTTGTCATTTCAAGATCGTAATAACCGTTGACTAAATGCGTGCATTTGGCATAGCGTGAACACTCTTGCGCACTCGTTATTCTTGCACGAGAGTATGCTTATTTTCTTACGCACCTCGTTCGATCACATTTTGAATGATTGAAAGGCAGCTTTAAACGACGCTACATCGCTGATATTGCATGCATCACCAAACGAAGCCGTTTCAGACACTAATTAAAATCCCCGAATTGACGTTACAAAGGCGTGCGTATGTGTTCGTTGTGCAACACGGCTGGCGAGAAGTGGCGTGTGACCAGCGTCAACAGAGGAAGGCGGCACCGTCGTGGCACGTTAGCAGCAACCACGGTGCCCCTAAGGTTACCTGTTTCAGGCTTGCAGAGAGCATGCATCACTTCTGGAGCACCCTTCGCGTACAGCTCCATGTGGCGGCTGCCCAGCGTGCGACACACTACACTCATGCGCTGTAGGAACGACGAGAACGGGAACTGCCGGATGATGCCCACCTCGAAAGGCACCTGATGGAGAATGCAACGCATGGCGGGCGCTGTATAATTTGCGCAAAAGCGCGAAAAATATTGCACAGTGATAAAAAAACCTGCATGGCAGCGATGTACTCGCAAAAAACATATTTACAAAAGGCATAAACTGCGCACACTAACAGTCGCACAGAGATCACGTGAGGACAAACGCAAATGTGCAGCTCCGTTTTATCCCCCAGATACCACATGTAAGTGCACCAAATTATTTACATTAATACGTTGACGTACCTCAAAGTACATCGCTAACCATGATTATGTTAGCGGAAGTACAAAATGCAAACACTTCTCAATAAATGTCATCTTGTGGCTGATGAAAATTGATGTGTCACTGGCAGAATCACACACCGGCTTTCTTTACGATGAGCATCGCGTGTTTATCTTACTTGTCTATCAGAGCAGCTACACTCGTATGTATTTTGTATGTCTGATGTGATAAATTAGTACGAATACTCTATGAATGTTTATTTATATATTTTTACGTAACCTTAACGTCAAGACATTTTTTAGAAACCTTTCATTTGTGGAGAAATTACAAATGACGCAATTATGTGCTCGTTTATATAGGTGAAAAAGAGGAAACCGTCGATACTATGCTTAGGATTGTGTTATTATGTTGTAAAGGAAGCTCGAAATTACGTCTACATTTAACAAACTTCAAGTTGTAAGGAGGTTTATTGGGCGAACCAAACGGGCAGGTCGGAGATTGGAGATAGCGACAGGACGAGGAAGATGGAGGAGCTCGAGCGCCGATCTCGTGGTGCCTTATTCTGCGATGATGCTTGCTGCTTCCTTTTGTTATCATCATTCCTTCATTATAATTGCCCCCGTCGAGAAAGATCAAGCCATCCTGGCGATCTAACAAGTAGGAACGAGCGGGTCGAAGTACGGCTTCAAGCGGTCCACGTGAACAATGTCGTGTCCACGCCGACGATGGTCACCGGGTGGCGTAAGCGGTTCGATGGCGTAATTGACGGGCGATGTGCGCTCTAGCACGTGGTATGGGCCATGGTAATTTGAAAGTAGCTTGGTAGACAAACCAGGTGCACAGGGTGGTACATACAGCCATACAAGGGTTCCAGGGGCGAACTTGGCGGCAGGAGGGTGGTCGTCATCGCGGGCTTTTTTCTGGCGTTGCTGGTCAGCCGTAGTAAACTGCTTCGCTAGTTGGCGGCATTCTTCGGCGTGACGGGCGGCTTCAGACACGGTCGTGCACTCAGATACACCTGGTGCGTATGGCAGCAAAGTGTCAATTGTGTGCGATGGTTGACGTCCGTATAGAAGGTAGAATGGAGAAAAGCCGGTGGTGACTTGGGTAGCGGTGTTGTACGCGTAGGTCGCAAATGGAAGAACCAGGTCCCAGTTCGTTTGGTCAGATGCCACATGCGTCGCGAGCATGTCACCCAGGGTCCGATTAAACCGCTCAGTCAGGCCATTCGTCTGAGGGTGGTAAGCAGTACTCATCCGGTGTACAATATGGCACTGACGGAGAAGTGCTTGGATTACGTTGGATAGAAATACACGGCCCCGGTCACTGAGGAGCTCGCGAGGAGGGCCGTGACGCAACACAAACCGATGGAGGATGAAAGATGCGACGTCCTGAGCGGTTGCCGTAGGAAGAGCAGCGGTTTCGGCGTACCGTGTCAGGTGATCTACAGCAACGATAGCCCACCGGTTACCTGCTGTGGTCAATGGCAGTGGTCCATAAAGGTCGATTCCGACGCGATCGAATGGGCGGTCAGGGCACGCAAGCGGCTGTAGTGGAGCTGCTCCTGCATTCGGTGGCTGTTTTCGTCGCTGACACTCGTGTCAGCCGCGAATAAACTGTCGAACAAAAGTAAACATCCCACGCCAGTAGTACCGCTTCCTTAGACGCTCGTAGGTCTTGAAGAGACCGGCGTGAGCGCATTGCGGGTCGGAGTGAAATGATGCACAGATTGTAGAGCGCAGCTTTCGGGGAATAGCGAGCAGCCACTTCCTGCCGTCTGGTGAGTAATTGCGCCGGTACAAGAGGCCACCTCGAATGGTGAAGTGCGAAGCCTGGCGTCGCATTGCTCGAGTGATGGGAAGTGTCGGTACCCCAGATAAGACGTCCAGAAGCGAAGTTATCCATGGATCGTCGCGCTGTGCAGAGGTCATTGTGTCGATGTCAAGAGCGGACAGCGCGTGTTCCATAGAAGATATAGAGGCAGCCTCAGTCGACAGTGGTGATCGCGAGAGCGCATCAGCATCAGCATGTTGGCGGCCGGAACGGTACATGACGCGGATGTCATACTCTTGAAGTCGCAGAGCCCAACGAGCAAGGCGACCTGATGGATCCTTCAGCGATGACAACCAACATAAGGCATGATGGTCTGTAACTACAGCAAAGGTGCGGTCATATAAGTATGGGCGAAATTTCACAATTGCCCAAAGTATGGCTAAGCACTCTTTTTCGGTAACACTGTAGTTTACCTCAGCCTTGTTGAGCGTTCTGCTGGCGTAGGCGACGACATACTCAGGGGATCCAGGCTTTCGTTGAGCGAGAACTGCACCGAGACCGACACCGCTGGCGTCTGTATGGATTTCAGTTGCAGCCGTGGGATCATAGTGGCGCAATATAGGCGGTGATGTCAGGAGACGGCGAAGAGTGGTAAATGCGTGATCACATTCGGAAGACCATGATGAGATGTCGTTGGCACTGCTTAAAAGTTGGGTCAAAGGGGAAATTATGGAGGCAAAGTTGCGCACAAACCGACGAAAGTAGGAGCACAATCCTACGAAGCTGCGTAACTGTTTTACAGTCGTTGGTTTGGGGAATTCAGCAACAGCGCGTAGTTTAGCCGGGTCGGGAAGAACACCATCCTTTGATACGACGTGACCGAGAATGGTGAGCGTCCGTGCAGCGAAGTGGCATTTCTTTAGATTCAGTTGGAGCTGCGCATTCTTCAGACACGTGAGGACATGTTTCAGGCGTACAAGGTGTGTTGCGAAATCGGGTGCAAAGACGACGATATCGTCGAGGTAGCAGAGGCATATGTTCCATTTCAAACCCCGCAAAACCGAGTCCATCATGCGCTCGAATGTGGCCGGCGCATTGCAGAGGCCGAAGGGCATGACATTGAACTCATATAGCCCGTCCGGTGTCACGAATGCTGTTTTTGGACGATCACCATCTGCTAAGGGCACCTGCCAATACCCCGAACGCAAATCTGACGACGAAAAAAACTCGGCACCTTGTAAGCAATCAAGGGCGTCATCAATCCTGGGCAAAGGGTATACGTCTTTGCGAGTGATCTTATTTAAGCGCCTGTAATCAACGCAGAAGCGGATTGCACCATCCTTCTTCTTAACAAGAACGACAGGTGATGCCCATGGACTTTGGGAAGGTCGGATAACGTCGCGCTTGAGCATATCGTCAACGTGTTCGGTGATAACCTGACGTTCTGTGGCGGAAACACGGTATGGTCGTTGTCGTACTGGCGCGTTGGAACCTGCGTCGATGCGGTGGAAAAAACTGGGAGTTCGGCCAAGGGTAGGTTGAGCAACGTCAAAGGATTCACGAAACTGGTAGAGCAGCTGAAGGAGCTCAGAGCGTTCAGATGGCGATAGTCCGTCGGCAATCGATGAATCGAAAAGCTCGCAAGGTGGTATATTGGAAGGGTTGAGAGCACTTATGGCGTCGTAGTCACCGGAACAATCTGGCGGCATGGTAAAAATTTGTTCTTTATCAATGGCATGCACGTGTCCAAGAGATTCACCTTGAAACAGTTCAACGGGATACGGAAGGGGATTGATGAGGCAAAGAGCACTGTTTCCTTCAGAAATAGAGAGGGTTGAATAAGGCAGAAGAAGTGATCTTCGACTAAGGAAGAGGCTTGATGGCTCAAAGAACGCAGCTTCGTTCCTAATGCCGTCACAGAACACGGGGAGCAACACAGCTGCTGTCGGAGGAATTTCAGTGCCTTCTTTGACGACGAGTTTGTGTACGGCGGGCTGAATGCGGCTGGTTGGTTGGTCGTAAAACGGGAAAAGTTCAAGCTGCGATCTTGCACAATCAATAACGGCATGGTTACGCGATAAAAAATCCCATCCAAGTATGATGTCGTGTGAGCATGACGACAGGACAATAAACTCAACAGTGTAGTGGTCATTCGCGATCATCAGTCGGACAGTACAGGCGGCTACAGGCTGAACCGGGTCCCCATTCGCTGTTTGCAAGGACATCATGTTAAGAGGCGTCGTCACTTTACGGAGCTTGCGGCAAAGTTTAGCGTCTATCACGGAAACGGCAGCACCAGTATCCACTAGAGCATATGCTCGAGTACCTTCTACAAAAACTTCGACAATATTCGACGGCAATGTCCGAGGACTTGAGCATTTCGACAGCGCAGTTCTTGCTTCCTGAACTGCGGCGGTTAGTTTCCCTCGTGTTCAGGAGCTGGCCGACGACGCATGGGTGACAGGGAGCGACGACGGGGTGAAGGTGAGCGACCAGACATAGTACGCGGACATTCCCGTGAAGACGAGCTTGACTGAGGGTCAGAATATTCCAGACGAGATGGAGAAAGGTCCATGAAGCTGTTCTGTGTCCGGGCGTCTGTGTATCCCGGCACGCGACGACGGCAGTAACGGCCGATATGGCCAGGGCCGCCGCACGCAAAACAGATGGGCCGGTTATCGCGCGTTCTCCAAGTATTGGCGACGAGGGGACCAGTCCATGCGGCAGACGGGTGTGTCGAGGCTGTGGTGGCAATGGGAGGAACCCAGGCGGTGGACGGCTGAGTCGGGGCTGAGGTATACGGCAGTCCCTGGAACGACAGGGGGTGGTGCCGCTGCTGCCGCTTTAGTGCCTCAGCGTAAGTAAGAGGCGCGGTGACGGTGGGCTGCTGCAAGGGCACCGGCATAGCCTCGGAAATCTGCTCCTGGACCACATGTCGGAGCATGGGAGCCAATGGTGGTGGGTGTCGCAGTGGCTGTTGGTGCGAGAGCTCCTGGCG